GAGCCTGAATTTCTGGATACCACAAGAGCTATCTTGTATGTCAAGTGAAATTGCTACCTACTTAGAAAGTTTGGGCTTTTTATCTGTTTATATTCCTTACAATGCTGATGGTTTCTTTTATAACTCAGAGAGGTTTATTCATTTCTATATTTGGCCTTGGGCTGCAGTGCAGACCTCCTGACCTATCCTGTCCACAGATATACTTGTAAACATAATGCAGTGGAAAACATAAATTCACCTTTCATCCCTAATACGAATGCCAAAACAAATATCAGTTGTTACTCAGCTTAGTGCTGCTAAGAAAATGTTCCGGTTATTGTTATGTCAAAGAGGCAAAGACTGCCAAATCTGTAAGAACAGAAATGTGGTTCGGTGAGGTATTTAAAACATGAAGGGCAAGATTTATTGTTAGACTCCTAAGGATATGAAGAGAGTGAGAGGGGAAAAAAAGGCTCTTGATTTGAAACTAGAATGGGACCCCATGTCCAGGGTATGCTGGTGAGCCAAGTGGAAGGGTTAAAGGAGGAAAATAGGTTAAAAGCTTTAGCTGTCTGAATAGAGGAAAAAAGGGAAAGATGATGAAAGGTTCTGATGGATTTTGTTAGTGTTTTCTTGAAAAAATTTTGGGAATTCCTGTGCAGAGAAAAAAGTTGATGGGAGAATTTAAGGAGTGACTTCACAGTTGCAAAATGGTATTTCAGCTGAGGACATGAAACTTCATTATATTAGAGAAGTAGAGTTTGAGGATGAGAAGTTTGAACCTAAGAAGGATCATAGAATCATAAAATATGTGAAGTTGGAAGGGACCCATCAGGATCATCGACTCCAACTCCCTGCTCCTCACAGGACCACCTAAAACTAAACCACATGACTAAGAACATTGTGCAGATGTTCCTTGAACTCTGACAGGCTTGGTGCCGTGACCACTTCCCTGGGGAGTCCATTCCAGGGACCGACCACCCTCTCAGTGAAGAACCTTTTCCTAATGTCCAACCTGAACTTCCCCTGGCGCAGCTCCATTCCATTTCCTCGTGTCCTGTCTCTGGTCACCAGAAAGTGGAAGTCAGCACCTCCCACTTGGCTGCCCCCCCATGAGGAAGGTGTAGACTGCGATGAGGGCACCCCTCGGCTTGCTCTTCTGCAAGCTGAACAAGTCCAGGGACCTCAGCCACTCCTCATAAGTCTTGCCCTCAAGGACTTTCACCATCTTGGTCGCCCTCCTCTGGACACCCTTGAATAGTTTGATGTCCTTCTTACATTGAGGTGCCCAAAACTGCACACAGAACTCAAGGTGGGGCTGCGCCAGTGCGGTGTAGAGTGGGGCAGTTGCCTCCTTCAACTGGCTAGCTGTGCTGTACTTGATGTACCCCAGGGCATGTTTGGCCCTTTGGGTGGCCGGGGCACACTGCTGATTCATAGTCAACTTGCCATCAAGTGGATGGGATGACTTGGTTGGAAAAATCTTAAAAATGCATGTGAAGAGCCTGTTTTTCCTTCTGTTCGAGACAAATATTTTCAAAACAGGTTCAGGAGAAAGTTGTTTGTGACTCTCAGCAAGTGCCACACATCACAATTGATGCAAACGTGAGAGACAAATAAAACACATATCAGATATAATAAGAATAAAACTCAGGCAAATTATGTTTTGCCTTCCTTTGAGCTTAGTTGCAGAGGAGTTGTTTAGCTGGAAATAGAAAGAAGTAAAATACCGGAGAAACACAATGAAGAGAAAGTTAGGATTCCTTAGGCCAAATCTTACAAGCACAAATGCTCTGGAAATAGTTTATCACAAATGCCAGAGATCCTCTTATGCATCTGTTGGTAGCGCAGCATAATGGAGGGGCAGGACTTCTGAACAATCTGTTAACGTTTGTGAATCATAGTGATGTGTCCATCCTTCCTCAATGGCCCATGCAATCATAGGGTGTCCATAGTTTACCATCTTTTTCCAAAGTATGTCATTTATATCCTCCTCTTTTTTGTCTTCTGCCAAGAATTTTTTGATTCCGTATCTAAACATACAGAATCATGGAATCACAGCACCATTGAGGTTGGAAAGGATCCCTGGAGATCACCTAGTTCAGGCTCCAGCTCAGTGGGGTTTCATGAATGCAGTGGCCCTGGTCCATGTCCAACTGGGTTTTGAGTATCTCTAGACTCCACAACCTCTCTAAGCAACCTGTTCCACTGTTTGATCAACACTTCAGTGAGAAAGGTGATTAACAAAGATGTTAAACAGACTTTACTTTTGGACTGCTTCATTAGTGACCAGTCCTCAGCTGGACTTTGTGCTGCTGAGTGAAACCCTTTGAGCTGTGTTTCTGACAGTTTTCAGTCCACCTCACTGTCCACTTAATCTAGTTTGTACATCATAAATTTGTCGATGAAGATTTTAACATGGGGCAGTGTCAAAAGCATTTCTAACTTTTTTTCAGCTCTGGGCCTTTTGTCTTCAAAAGAGCATCTAAGCAAAAGATCTTTTGGCACATTTGGGTCCATCTCATCTCCTCCAGTTTATTATTTTTCAGTAGGTTAGCATGGGACATACTGAGAAGATATAATGGGCACAGATACTCACATCCCAGTCAACGGAGTGATGATTCTGAGTCTGTTTCATAGTTTGTGACGCAAACTAGTCCTGGATGGGCCCTATCTTAATTCAGTGCTGCAGTCCTGTCATTTGCCACGTGGGTTAGAATAACAAATGTGTTTCTGAGAAAATACATGTCTCTGAAAAAGCTTCACCTGTATAGTTTATTCACATGAATTTATGTTCTCCTTTTGCTGAAGTTGCAGTTTTTCCAAGAATCATTGAAAAGGTGGCTGCTTGCCATTTAAACATCTAGCTGGTTAACCTTATGTGCAGTACTGCCTTTTTTTCCACGCATAATGGAGTGTCAGAGCCAAGTGCAAATGTAACTGTCTTCATGCTTGTGTGGCTTGTTCTAAACTGCAGTATTGCAAATAAACAGTGTCACTGCATGCAGTCTTTGTGCTATCACCACTTGCTACCAAGAATGAAACAAAATGTTCTGAGTACAATTAGGTAATCAGAAGTTAGGACATTTCCCTTTTGTCACCCATAAAGTAGCTAAGAGATTTTTTTCTGCTGTTGAGCAGGATTTCGAAATATTTTGGAAAGACTACTGGAATAATTTTCCTTGTCCTATTGTAGTAGGATTCTGACTTTGTCACATGGAGATCATTTCCACTTGCTAATACACTACCAAGTGTTTTGAAATAGGAATTTGTCAGTAGTCCTTGGTAGCTCACTTCAGTAAACAGCTGCCTTAGACTCTACAACTTTGTTTCAGTCTAAATTGTCTCTTTATTTTTGGAAAAGAGAGTTGTGGCTCACTGCTGAATTATTCTCTCTGAAATTAAGAGTCATTTTGAAAACCAGCAATTAAATCAATGTGAGATGTTTATAGTATATATAAATGGGACACACAATCAGTTAGATTCTCAGTCTGATGAAATGTGAACAGGCTCTTTCTGAAATGTGGGATATTAGAACTTGGCTGTGCGTATTATGGAGTAGATTAGGTGAAGACTTACCATGTAGGGACATATCTAGTCCTCTTGTTTCATGATGTGAACCAGGAGAGAACCCTGCTTGCAGACTTCAGCTAACTACACATAGGATGATTTATTTTAACCTTGCATATTATTATTGCTTTTGCATGGAAAATGCCTTCTTTTATTTTCAAATGTCTGCTTATTTTTTTTCTCTCTTCAGGTCAAGGATTTTGTCTCTTGGTAGTGGGGGTGGGTGTGGGGGGTGGTTTTTTTTTTTTTTTCAATATAAATACAGAGGTGACACTTAGCCTTTTACACATTGCACTGAAAAGCACTCCTCAGAAATATGGTGAAATTTTCAATCACAATCACATTTTGCTTTCAATTATTTCTTGTTTAGGGAGCTATGCTTATGTGAAA